TTAAATTCCGTACTAAATTCCGTACTACTACTTCACCTACCAGTGTCTTCACGGTTCCAAAGTAGGCTCCGAGACCAACTCCAGGACTTAGATTCTCTGGGATAGGACACCAGGGGGAGGGGGATCGTTGAATTGCGACACAGCAGTGGTAGAGGCTGTATGTATGTATGTATGATGTGTGGGACAGGGACGCCTTCTCCCCTCCCCTCCTCCTGAAAATCACACCTCACCAATCACCCGCGTCGTTTACCCGGACTCACTCACCAGTGAACACAAGCATGCGCTGCTTGGGCTCGGTCTGCCGTAACATCTGTACGATATGGCACGAAGCGGTACGGCATTGGGCGCGGACCCACGCACATGATCAACAAGTTACATACATACAAGTTACATGTTCCATGTGTATGCGAGGGTAAGTGTGTGTGTGGGGGGGGCCGCGTGTCAGAAATGGACGTGTATGGTCATGTACTACATCCCCCGGGGTTGCGTGGGGTGGGTAGTGGGAGTTGAGTGCATGTGCGGTGGGGTGGGGCGTACAAAGGGCTCGCCCAAAAAAAGCCGGGCGGCAGAGACCGCGCCACCAGAGGTTCGCCAGTGATCCGTTCGACTGGCGGCGGCGACACGACACCGCCGCTACATTGAATTCCTTTTCTCTGGGAGGAAGATGAAACGACGAATCGCACCAACATGCGGAGTCGTACTGTCATTCAAAAAACGCAAGCTTGGCGTTCCCGTGCGCTCCGCCGGGAGCATTTCTTCCCTCCCCCTCCCCCTCTCCCTTACCGTTCCCTTCCCTACCCGTACACAAAAAACCCGCGTCCCCTCCCTCCCCTCATCCCCCTTCCCTCTCCAGACACTTCGGTGCTGGTCCCCTTCCCCCCTTCCCCTCCGTCTCAAACCCAAACCATCCCCACTCTCCCCCACTCACCATTTCGTTATTGTATACTGGATGGCAAGGGTCAGTCACAATCTCTAAATGAATCCTACGCGGGATGTGGCCACCTTCAACCTCCTGTGTGTGTGTGGTGGTGGGGGGGGGAACGGGCGCCGCAGGGGACGGGCGCCAGGCGGGGGGGGGAACATGCATGTGCTGACACATTGTGTATTATTGGGGGGGAGGGTACGACGAACCACTGATGACAGATGCAGATACCAGAGATTGAAAGTGGGGAGAGGTGGAGGGGGGAAAGACGGAAGAGTTTTCTGGAAGCAGAGGGCAGAGGGCGGGTAGGAGGGTACGACGAAGCACATGGCCGGAAGGGTGGGTTAAGGAGAGCCTTAAGGCTCGGATCGGACCCTATTCAACCTATTCAACCGGAAACCAGCTCTTTCCCCCAAAGCATCACCACCGCTTCCTCCTCCTTCTCTTCCCCCCTTCCCACATCCCACACAAACAACATCAGACTAAGCCTTTCTTTTCATAAAATTTATTGAAGAGTCACTATGAGACGGTATTAAGCTGAATTACTTGGCCAGCATTGTGATAAGGAAAAATAATAGTGCTATTGGCTATCTTGATCTATCGACTCCTACAATTTTTTGTTATAGATAATAAGCCTGATCAAATAACAAAGGAAATCATTAGGATAACCCATAGTGAGATTCTACTAAGGAAATTGGAAGTGAGGTAAATGAAGTCCTTTTAAGACAAGAAAGAGCCCATGGTATACAAATAAAAAGCTTTAAAAGTTTGATGACAAAGTTTGAATATCAAAAATGCTATATATAATTTAATAACAGAGGTGATGATAACCGCAACAGAAAGAAGCCTCTCAACGAAAAACCGCCCACCTTCCACTTAACTGCAAAACCGCCACCAGAACACCAACATCATCCACGTCATCCGGGTAAATTCGACTTCAACTGGAAACCCGCTACTGCCGTCAGAACGCTGTATAAGCCGCGGTGTAGTCCGACATACATACAGGTGCCCCCTCCCCTCGCTTCACAAACGACAGGTGCAGCAGCAGCAGCAGCAGCAGCAGTAGCAACAGTATCAGTAGCAAAATCCGCAGCAGTCGCAGTAGCACCACCCCCACCACACCACCTGGTCCAAAGAGATCGCCCACACGATGCAAACAACACCATGTGAAACCCATCCACGACGTCACCGCGGCCCCACCCCACCGTAACCAGCCACCGGCAAACCCAACAACGGGACTGTAAACCCAACAATGGGTACACATGCCCCTCTACCCCTAACTCTGTTTTTGCTAAGTTTTACCCCCCTTCCTCCTCACACCCTTTCCTCGTCTTCCCCCCCTTCCTCCTCTTCCCTTCCTCCTCTTCCCCCCCTTCCTCCTCTTCCCCCCTTCCTCCTCCCCCCCTTCCTCCTCCCTCCTCCTTCCTCCTTCCCCCCTCCTCCTCACCCCCCCTTCCTCCTTTCCCCCCCCCACACCTGTGCCAGGCTCGGGTGCAGCTCCCTCAACGGAGATGTTCTGAGCGCCACCCTGCCCCCGGGCCGCCTCACCACCTCCACAGTGTACAGCCCCGCGGGCGCGGACTGGGGCCCCCCCTCCAGGCGCATCTGGGCCGCCAGCCGCCGGAGCAGCTCAGCAGCGGCGGGGGTCGTGTCGCCCCAGCCGGGGGGAGGGAGAGTCCTGTATGTGTGTGTGCGCATGATACATACATACATACATACATACAGGAAAGTGCTTCGGCGGTCGCTCGTTGCCGTTGGGGTACGGTTAAGTGCCCCTGGCCAGTGTCAGGCCCGGATCGATATGTAACAGATATACATACTCGCCAACGGCGGATTGCAGGAAACGCGAACGAGGAGTGGCGGGGTTATACGGATAAGGTGGGGTGGGGTTTGGGCACGGGGGTGGCATGGGTGGGATGGGTGGGGAGGAAAGGGTGTCACTGCTGGGAGCTGCTTTCATCTGTGACGTCAATTATCTTAGATGTTTCCGTACAGTTTTCCGTACACCTATTGGAAACGCGGAGTTTGGTTTTTTGAATTCCGCCTCTTTAAATCCTCCTCCTCTTTCTTCTTCCTCAGGCATGCCGTACCTGAGATCCTCGGGACGTGGCCCCGAAACCACCGCCGCCGCCACCGCCTGCATGTCCTCCGCATCCTCCTCGCCGTCAATGCTGTCACAGCTGTCGTACATGGCCATGGTCCCCGCGCCCGCGGCGGCGTTGCTGCCGCTGACGGCGCTGCCGTCGACCCGGCGGCGCTTGGCGTGGCCCGGAGCGGCGTCAACGCCGTCATTGTCCGACGCCGTCAACGGGCCGCCTCCGCCTTCCACCACCGGCGACGGCGGTGACGGTGACGGCGACAGCGGCGGAGACCGAGACCCGACGGCGGCGAGGGACGCCTTCCTTGCGGTCCGTCGTCGTCTGAATTTGGGTCTGCGGGTCACCGAAACCGACCAGAACACAGGGTATGTTTCCTTCCTCTTGCCCCTCTCAAACAGCAGCAACGACAACAACAACGACATACATACATTCACACACACATACATAAACACACCATCATCGCATCACCTCCGACGAACTCGCCTGGCGCCGCCGGCGGTCTCCCGTTGCAGCTGCCTCCACAGCTGAGCTAGCGGCTTATCCTCGGTGCCGCTATCAGCTGGTGCTGCTGCTGGTGCTGCTGCGGCGGCGGCGGCAACGCCACCGCCACTGGGGGTGGGCTCCGCCGCCACTGCTACCGCCGCTGTGGTTCCGGTCCTGAAGTGGCCGCCAGTGTCGCCGCCGCCGTTTTCACGGTACTGCGACCTGCGCAACCGCTGTTTTCCTTCTTCCGTTTGCCGCTCTCCTTCGTCTTCTCCTTCTTCTTCTTCTTCTTCCTCCTCGTTGTCGCCGTCATCTTCCTCTTGTCTTTTTTCATGATGGTGATGATGATGGTGCCCTGGCGGTGCCCCCGAGGTTGCTTCGCCGCTGCGCTGTACGGCATCCGCGCCCACGGCGACACGGCACCGCGCCGCTGCCCCTCCTTCCGCCCTACTGCTGTCGCGGTCTCGGCACCGCCCCCGACCAGGGTCCACGGCGGTGCCGCCAGCTTTGGCGGCGCCAGGGGTGACGGCAGTCCGGTGAAGGACGGGAGCAGCGGCCATTTCGCCTCCCGCAGACGCCTGGCCCTCGGTCAGGGTCTCGGTGAAGGGGGGGGTGCCGCCGCTGCTAGCGTCGCCGCCGACGGGTGCCGCCGGGGCCGCGTCCTCGTCCTCGCATGGCAGGTTGCTTGCATCGTCGTCGGGATGATGGCGCTGCCACAGAACCGCGTCGCAACCGCAGCTGCCGTGGACTGGCAGGGACTGGAGATAGTGGTCTATCTCGTCACTGCCGCTGCTGGCGTCGTCGTATTCGTCGCCATGGTTGTCGGTGTCGTCATACTCCTCGTCGTTGGATTGGTAGCCAAGAGAGGTAGCTGCTGGCAACGATGCCATGGTCAGACCACCCGCTGGCTGCCAGGCTGCCGGTATTGTACGGCTAAGCAATGGCGTCAAACTAATCGCTCGATTTGACGAAGGGCCCGCTCAAACGCCTTAAACGTCCCAGGATAACGCAGCAGGTGACAATTATGCACTTCAGGATATGGGCACATGCTGTTTGGCGGTTCGGGCAGGCGACAAAAAGTCATTGTGAGCTGGTCCTGTTCCCGATCGTGTCGCGCTAGAAAGAAGAGAATAATGAAAGCATCAATGTTTTCTTTGATCGTGCTTTAATAAGCGAGTTCCTTAGTTTGGAATTGTGGGATACGGCGTTCTTTTATCGGACCTACATGCTCAAAGGACATAGATTCAGGAAGCCAAGCTGCAACCTCAGCAGTCCTAATATTGGGAACCCTTGATCTTCGCAAACCGTCCCTACCTCTGGCTCAGCTTCGGAGCTATATACGGCAATACCGCTATGACTCCGAAGGTTTTCCGCTTATAAGCTCTATGCACACACCTGGCATATATTCCATTTCAGTCAGGATCAAAATACTTATATCATAGCTTAGATTTTGTAAGGAGCGAAGGAGTCATTATCTCCTCATCCGGTTTAGCAAAATGCCGCCCAGCTACAACCACACGATGAACGGTGTCAACCTGGCGGTAGGTAGCTGTTATTTCTATAAGCCTTATAAGCGAAAAGCGACCAAGGGCTGGCTAGTAAGCCGCCTCTCCCCCTCCCTGACCTCATCCTCGCTGTCCTATGCAGAACTTTCGCCAATTGACACAGAGCGGGAGGAACAATGGCAAGAATGGTGGCTACCGTGCACCATATGAGTGGACTCTTGAGGTAGGGATGAAGGACCTTTAGTCTAGCCATGTCTTAGTGGCTGTTTACTTCGACCGGCGCGCTCTTAAGCGCACACGTGCCCCACAAGTTCTAAGGTGATACTGATTGCAATGGTATTACGATGCTTTGTCTATGACATACAGCTCGTTACATCAATGAAACGCTGGAGTGATGATGTGGTCCTGCGCTGGTGAATACTTTTATTCACACGCTTCGTTTCAGTGACCATAGCTGCTCAGTTAATTTCGAAGCTGTATCGGTGATGCGATGTTGGTTTTTGCGCAACGTGTACTGTTGCCGCTGCCTATGGTCCTACAGAGTATTGAGCAAATGGGAGCTGGCGCTGCCGAGAACCGCATGTCCTCAACGTTGCGTGAGGCGAGCACACAGTTGCAGGTGCGTGGCTGGACTCGCAGCTTTTCTTGGAGCGCCCACCACGATGTTTGGGAGTGCTGGGCAGCGGCTTGGCAAACCTCCAGGACAATTCACGCCGCATGAATACTGTAATGGTTTTTATATCCTGTTGGTCGATAGCTTGTAGGGCGTGACAATTGCCCGTTTCCCTACTAGACATTCTACGGGGCACAGCATTTCCTAGCCCCCCACGTCCTGAGATACAACTATGGCACGTAATGCACTGCTTATATGTCTACCGCCTGTCTTGTAGGCTGTTACCAATGCCACTGTGGCCAACGACATCTCACACGTCAACAAGGCGCTGCAAACAAAGCTGAGCCAAACGGAGCAGCTTAAAGTAAGTTCCAGCAGTTATAGCTAAATATATACTCTGATGCCGCGCGAAGCCTGGTATGCCCACTAACAACAAGTGTAGTACAGCTGTCCATCGGCGCTCCCTCTCTCCTTTTGGGAAGGGCGTATTCGCACCGCTGCACAAGCCCAAGTACAATCCCATGTAAAACTACAAACTCTCGCCTCGTTGAAACATCAGCCAATTACCCGACCCTGACAGCATGGTCTTTCCCTTCCCATCCGCACGCGCGTTGACAGAACATGCTGGAGACGTGCCTAGCGGAAGTCATTTCGGAGATTGCGGAACTCCTCTCTACAAGAAAACGCCTGGAGGAGCGCGGCGGCAAGGTGGCCTCGAAGATCGGCGTCAATGCCAGCCGCTTACAGGTACGCGCGCTCGGCTGGACGGGGTTCCTTGGCACGTCACCCCTCCTAAGTGGGAACTGGGTTGGGCCCCCATGGTTGAACCTCGATAGGTAAAACGTAACCCAATTGATCCAGATCAATGTACACCCAGATCATTATACACCCAGATCAATGTACACGTAACCGCACACTGAGCAGCTTGTACAGCTATGGTCTGGTCTTGCAACGCCGTGCAACGTCGTACTGGCGTTCAGCACAGGCTTTCAGCACTTCCCCCCTTCCACTCCCACTCCCACTTCCACTTAAAGGAGAGCATCCTTCAATTGGCTCTAGGCCTGCTTTTCTCTACTCGGCTTCCCTCTCCTCGGTGTCCTTCTCCTCGCAGCTGCGTACTGGTCAAGTACTGATCAAACGAACAAAAGCCAAAACACACAGGCGGACGCGCGGTATTGTCACCGACGTTCCCCCCACGAACCCAGTTCCCCTTTCCCTCATCTTCCCTTCCTCCCTCCCCCTTTTTACGCCTCCGAATTAATCCTTTTTTTTCAGGTCCGCTCTGGTCGTCCCAACCGCGAGATGACTATGGACGATGTGGAGAAGTCACTTTTGAAGCAGCAGGGCCTTTTGAGCTCTTTTGCAGAGCGGGTCAGTCGTGCAATTGCTCAAGTGGACAAGGAGGTTGCGGCGCTGGAGTCGGTTCGAGCCAAGCTGGAGGCAGACTTGCGGGACAAGGTGGGTAGGTGGGAGGGCTGGGAGGGCCGGGCGCGTATGTAATGATGCCGGCCATGTACGGGGGGTTTATGTGACTACGTGAACCCCCCTGCCCGCAATATGAGTGACCCAAACCTATCTAATCGAGGGAAGTCTGTGCGGAAGAGGCGTAGGCTCCACTGTGTTGGTCGGTAGGCCATTATCGCCAACGGTACTGTACATTGGTTTAGACTGTGACTTAGGTTGTGGACAGAACCGCTTACATCATATTGTATATTGTGCACCATAATTTATGTTGCAGCTGTGCCAAATTTAAACGGAAATGGAAACCATGGGCCGTAGATTTCTGTTGTGAATGTACGCATGAAGCATTGGTGCTCCAAAGGCGACCTGATGCAAATTTAGTTTCTGTCGTTCCCCTTGTCGTCTCCTTGTGCCCATACCGCCCTCCTCCTCACCTTTCCAAACTACTCCATGATACTCCATACATTCCCCCTCACCTTGCCACCCTGCCCTCCTCCTCCACGTCCACTCCACCATGTCGCCCTCAGGCTGAGGCCCTCCGTGTGGACGAGGCGGTCTTGTCCATCCCCACGGACCCCTCTGTGGAGAGCTCCATCTCCCCGTCCTTCCGCCGCAGTCACACGGACGCCATCCCCAAGACCCCGCACTCGTGGGTTCGTTCAACGGAGGACAACCTGCGTAACGCGCACCACTGGCTGGCCGACTCGGCAAGGTGGGTCATGGTGGCTAGGTGGTCATGGATGAACTGACGTTTGGACGGGGCAATGTATGGGGACACAATGCTCCTCCCCTCAAACCCCCTCTGTCTCTCCCCTGGCTCCTCTCGTCCCCTCTCTCATATTCATCTGCCATTGTCTCCTTCCTCGCTTGGTCGTCCTGCTGTCCTTGCGGGGACACTTCCTCTTCCTTCTCGCTTTCCCCCTTTCCTCCCCATTACAACCATGTCGTTTGGTGTATGTATGTATTTATTATGTATGTATTTATGTGCTTTTGACCAAAACTACAATGTATGTATGTATGTATGTATGTATGTATGTATGTATGTATGTATGTATGTATGTATGTATGTATGTATGTATGTATGTATGTATGTATGTATGTATCGCACAGGTTGCGCAAGGCGATTCTGCACGCCATTGCCAACAGCCGCGCCAACGAGCACGACATGTCTGCCCGTCTGAATGAGAACATGATGGCCAAGGTCTCGGCCACCAGGAACCTCCGCGAAGACCTGCAGTCGCAGCTGGAGCGAGTGCGGGACGAGCAGACCCGGGCCAAGTCGCAGAGGGCGTCACTTTCCGCTGCGCTGGAGGCCAAGAGGGGTCCGCTGGCGCAGGCGCGCGAGCGTCTGGCGGTGAGTTTGTCTGTCTCTTTGTTTTTGCCTGTTTGTCTGTCTCTTTGTTTGCCTGTTTGTCCGTCTCTTTGTTGGCCTGTTTGTCTGTCTGCCTTGGATGGCGGGACGATGGAAGGGATGGATGGGAGGAATTCCTACCAGCTTTCCAAGCATGGAGACGAGCGGGCTTCTACTTGTTTCTTCTACTCGTTGGGATTTCATTTGGCCGACTATTCACAACCGCCACAACCGCTGACACTGACGCTGCTGCTGACTGCTCTCAGGTCCGCCGCGCTCGTCCATCCCGTGAGACCGTGAATGACGAGGTGGAGGCTGCTCTGGCCCGGGAAGTGGCTCACCTGGCTTCAATCACCCAGCAGCTCAGCGACAAGGTGGGGGTTATACGTCAATACGCGTGTGAATGTATGTATGTATGTATGTATTGCTAGCGATGGAATATCATATGGGGGTTTAAACACTGTTACGTACACCCGTACATGTACCCCTACACCCGTATACGTACATGTGCCGTACTTACACGCGTACATGTGCACCTCCGTCTTGCTACTTTGCAGATTGCGGCCGTGGATAAGGAGATTGCCTCCCTGGACATGGCGGCCGCTCAGCTGAATGAGAACATCCGGGACAAGGACGAGGCCCTGCGCATCGACGAGCGGATGGTGATGCTAGACGGCCGCATCAACCTGGCGCAGCGCCCGCCGAGCAGTGTCGCCAGCGTGAGTTGGAAAAAGGGGAGAAAAGGGAGTGTGGTGGTGATGGTGGTAGCGGTGGCTCCTATGTGGTCACACGGCTGGAAGGGGACGGCTGGGCAACGGCCGGCCGGGGTTTGTGGGGGAGGAGTATGAAAAGGTCCATGAGGGAATGTATCCTAGGACCGACCCTAGGACCGACCCTTACGTGTTGGAGTCCCCTTGTCCGAGTTTTGCCATCTCGCCTTCCAGAAGTCTCTTTTCTTTTCGCTTTTCTGTCGCTAGTTTATTATTTCTGGGACACCGGATAGAATGAGGAGCGTTTCCCGATACCGTTTTGTGCCTATACCCCTCCCTCACTCTTGATACACCACTCTTGTTATTGGCGACCCTAAGACCTCGCATGGGGACTACACATCCACACCCGAACTTTACATCCACACCCGAACTTTACATCTACATCCGAACTTTACATCTACATCCGAACTTTACATCCACACCCGAACTTTACATTCCCATCCAATTGCAGTTTGCGGTATCGGAAATGTCTGCACCCCGCACCCAAACTCTGTCGCGCATTCGGGAGCTGGAGGCCTCTCTCACCATGGCCCGCCGGGAGCGCGAGGGCATGGAGTCGTCCATCCGGCAACTCAAGGAGTCGATTGGCGGCACGGGCAGGTTTTAAACACGCGATATTATTCTCTCCCCACCCCTCACCACTTGCGGGGGCGCTGCTTTTATTTTCGTGAAGCTGACGCATTCCCACTGGTGCGCTTCCGAATATGTGATATATATAGTTACCGAGTTGGCTGAAAAAAATCGGCTATCTGCTAATCAGTGCGGAAGAAAGTGGTGGTGATTGGGTGATGGTGGGATGGTGACCTTCACCTCATGCCCCTCTGCCAGCTCGGAAAAGCGGCACCCAGAGGTTTGTGGGGGCAGGCAGGTAGAGAGAGGGTTTTTGGTCCCAGTCCTCCTTCGAGGCGCGGAGTGGAAGGAGGAGTCGGGGAGTCGGGGCCAGGCGCGAAGGAGAGGAGAAGCGGCCTCACAGGTTCCCGAGGTTTCTGTGGTGGGTCACCTGTCTATTTTCTTACTATCAGTTGTAATTAGTTCTGCGACTGATAGAGGTAACGTTAAAAGTGCTGTTAGCTGTCTGTTGATGTTTAGTTTTATTATTAAGGGGCACTGGGCAGGGATTGGCCTGCGTGTGAGCTTGGTGCTGGTCGTGTTTGACCTTTTGCAGGAGGGTGGGCAACATTACATCTTACGTCACTTGCCTTGAACATGCTTTGGCACAGGGGCAGAGCGGGTCGCTCTGTTGTGCCGAGCTGTGGGCCGGGTTTGGGGTACTGCGGTACGGTGCGGTACGGTGCGGTACAGTGGAGATGGTAGATTGGCATCGCGCCATGCATCTTTGGCAGTGGAGGAAGGTGGCGCAGGAGGAGGAAGAGGGGGTTTGTTCCGGTCCCAGAGAGCTGATTGGCGAACGGTCGAAGGCGTGCATGTGCGTTTACGCGACAAAGCTAAAGGTGTTTGTGAACGGTGCGGTATAATTCCGGAAATGACTCGATGATGGGGGGGCGAACTCGCATTCATATTCGTTCGCGCACTACATTCACTTTTGTTGTTGTGCATGTGATGGCACTTTGTTTGAGATTCGGATCCAGGAACGTGCTGCAGTACCTCTTTGCGCGGGCGTATCTAAGCGCGCGTGTTTTGAGTTTATGTGTGAGTATGTATGTATGTATTTGTGTACGCGCATGCCCGGGCGTCGCTGAGGAGTGCGCATGTTCTGGAAGAAGAGCCCTTTAGTTATGGGGGCCCCCGAGCGAATCCAGAGTCAATGTGAGTCGATGTGTAGGATAAACCTAGTTTAGTTTTCATGACATTTTGGAAGTACTTTTTTAAACTATTCCATAGCTTATTGGAGGATCGTGTACACGCGCGCATATCTACTCAGGGAGTTTTGCGCATTGTTATACACGTGTAATCGTTTAGCTAACTTGCTAATGTGCGCGCGATTGTGTTTGTAGCAATATCAACAGTACTGTTTAGCAGCAGGAGTGCCTTTTAAAACAGTAGGCTGTCGTCATTTTTAGTACGAAATTTGTTTGTAGTACAGACCCGAGAGGAGGAAGTGCGCGTTGCGTTAGGTAGCCAGTCCAGGACGCATGATGATAAATTAACATCATGCAGCAGGCAGTGCCGCAACGGTGATAATGATGATGATTATGATATGCGGATGATGATGATGATGCGGATGTGATTATGGATTATGGTGATGATGCCATTGTAAGCGGGAGTGACAGGACTGAGGTAGTCCGCGGCAGAAGCACTGCCGCCTGCCCCTATCTGCCCACTGCCTGCCTGCCCGGGTCTTTTCCCCGCCCCCGCCGCGCTCCCGCCCTCCCGGGCCCCCACCCAAAATCTCAACACAAAGCCACAAAAGAATGCTATTGACTGGGGAGGTGTGGGGGGGTGCATTCCATCGTGGCTTGTAATGTTGAGGTTGGGTATGGCCTCTGAACCCCGCCCGGCCTGGCCGGCCGCTTGTGCCGCTGGATGGTGGAGGACGGGAGTGCTGGTGGAGAGGGAGTTCCCGGGGTGTGGGTTTTCGCGTGTGTGTGGGGGAAGGGGGCTTGGTGAGGCCTTGGCGACTCTTCGCGAGTCGCCAAGGTGTGTGCTGTGCCTTGTAAGTGCCTTGTATTTTTGTGCGTGGGGGTGTGCGTGGTTGTTGGAAATAGTGAAGCGGCAAGAGGGGCAGAGGCGGCAAGAGGCGGTAGAACGGGCACCGCGTGTCGTGTTTAAGATGGGGGTGGCGTTTGTGTTCGTGCTTTTATTTACCGGCCCTGCGAGCCGGTATGTGAACCCAAAGCCGTACATCAACCCGTATAGCTTGGAGATGTCCGTACATCGTGGATGCACGCCACGGCGCACGGCAGGTAGAGGAGCATCTACATGCTGCCCGCCTGGCCTCGGTGGATTGAAGCGGGGAGAGGTTTGTCTGTCTGCACGTCTGCGCCCCTGCTGTCCACGTACACGTAGCTTTAGGTTTCTGTAAGCTGTGTATTATCTACCTGTACAGCTCTTCTGGTTGCTGTGATCGTCCATTAGTCGGTGGTTTTCGTTGTTTTGGCGGTTGGTTGTCTTCTGCGTGTGTGTGTGTGTAGCCTGAGGACGGCCTGTGGCGATTCATGCGATTGCGTTTCGGGGCTGGATACGTGCGAGACGGTCGTTTGTCGACCCCACCACCTTCATACATGTTTAATACATGTTTACAAAATTGTGGTGGTGACGTATCTATGTGTGTGTATGCGTGCGGTCGTGTGTCTTGTGTACTGCAAGGGAATGATGACGCGGTGACTCGTGCGTTGTGCAAAGGTTATATTATACGGCGAACCTGTGGTTTCGGTGCTACTTTATCGTGACCGCTTGAGATCGAAGACCAGCGAAGACGTAGTAGCGCTCCCACACCAGCTCTTGTTTCTTCTGCACAATGAACGATACTGCCGTCGTATCATTAGTTTGCGTGTCCTGTGTGTATGTATGTAAGTGCGGCTCGCGGAGTTGGCAGAAGGGAGACGACTCTGTCGCCTTCCGGGCTTTGCCGTGTATTGCCTGTACAGCATTGTCTACTGCAGGTAGTGTCGTACATTCCCAACACAGATGATCCTCCCTATCCCGCATATGCGCCGGGGAGCCCTGTGAACGTGGTATTGATCCGTCCCAATGACGCCAATGTACAGCAGGAGAATGAGGAGTAGGAGGTGTAATTCTTTTGGTTGATAGGAAGTGCCTGGCGATTGTGTGCGGATGTGAGCGCCGATATATTTGGTGTCCGGAAAGAGAGTGCAGAAATCGTGCGGCGATTCACTTGTATCGCGGCAGCATGCGGCTCTGGCTTTTGGCGAGTACGGGCGCAAATTACGCGGCATGACGGATTCTTACCGCATAGCACCTTTACTTGTTATCAAAAGCCGCAGGATTATTTATTTGCCGCCAAACTTTGCTAAGAAGTTTGCCTACTGAGAGATGTGTAGTTGGAGATAGGTCTGGTGGATGGCGTACGAGTGATTATTCTTGATCTCTGTTGCTTTTCATCAAGTGTGAAGCTGCTGCGTGTTTAGAATTGACTTGTTGTGGTTGAAATAATTGACGAAACTACTTCATCGGCCTCTACGAAACTACCAATGAATTCCCAATAAGAGGGAGTATTCCTACCGAATTCCAGCCAAAGCAAATGCGAACACTTTCCTGTTGTTGGGGTGTTAAACTGTGGGCGGCTCGTCCGAGAAAGGACGAGCACCGGGGGTCCTGACCGGGGGCCGAAACACAGCGCAGGGGCGGGTGCGCGGCTCTACGTCCGTCTGTTCCTCCGCGCGCGCCTCATTCCCTCACTCACGCCAACCGGGACGCTCTCCCAGCCCCTGGCTACGCAACACAGCGGCGCAGAAGACTGCGAACCGAACTAAGCGAGAGCCACACGAGAGGCGCCACTTCGCCTGGCCTGCCTATTCGCGCGCTCTCGTCCCTCTTGACCGCCAAAACAAGAACAAAGAGAAAACACCATTGGGGGCAGGGGCTCTACTCAGGGGGCTCCACTACACACTCAAAAACCCGAGGTAAGGGAAGACCTAGCCACGTCAGGTACGGCCCCTCAGAAGACTCTCCTAAATAAGGGCCCCACGCAGCCAGCAAGGCAAGAGATGCGCGGAGGACCACCTGTGTTTTTTTAAGTAATATTCCTTTTAAGGAATAAAGAGGCCATTTTGGCCTTTGGAAAAAAGCAGGGAACGAGCCGAAACTTGACCAGGTCTGCGGAAACTTTTCGTAATCGGGAGGCCCTTTGCGGAAAGGCTGCGGAAACTGCGGAAAGCTGCGAAAACTATAAAATGAATATGTAACGATGTTTTTTAGCTCTTCAGTGTGGCGATAACATGGACAGTCTGAAACCAGCTTATGGCAGTGCGGTTCTGTCCGGTGGGATCTAGAATCTGGTGGATTCCAATCGTGCTCGAAGGTAGAGCCATCTAAACGTATTACTGGGGGTGGCGGGGGCCAAGCGATCAACTATTGTGTGCCCACACCCTTGACGGTGTTCACCCTGCCCCCTTCAAGCAGCCCGCCTCTCTTTGAACCCTGAGACCCCAGGCCTGAGCAGCCCTATCGTATGCCACCCCCATAGTGTTGTTGGCTGACGGATTGCTCTGGGATGCTCAGAAATTGCCACTTGTATGTTACATGGGGTAAGGGCCCGGGGAGCCCTGAAACACTGAATAATAATCGTCTCCCTGTCCGTTGCGGAGCAGTGACATGTCTGCATGCCTACTACACATACCCGTCTGGCATGTCTGCATGCCTCACGGACAAGTCTATGCTGACTGTGCATTAATCCAGTAATCGTCCAAACAATACGAATTCAAAATAAAAAAATCAAAAGGAATAAAAAAGGCGAAAGGGCTAAAGTATCTAAAAATGGCACCGCACAACGATAACTGCAACGACGTGGCTCATTTCAACTTCAACCACGTTTACGGACATTGTGGAATCAATCATCAAAAACTCTTCTTCTGAGCAGAAACACAGTCAATCTCTATGACTTCGGCAGCCCCCAGGTCGGGGCCAGTGGTTGTTGACATTTGACTTAATCTAATAATTCCATAGTGTAAAACGCAGTCTTTAAAT